GACTTTTTAGATATTTTAATTAAAGTTAGGGAGTTTAGCTTCAAGTTATACTTAAGTTAGGACCTTTTGGTCAAAGTTAAATGTATGGACAAATATTGTCCAAAACAATAATTTTCCATTATAAATAAGGGCGTGGATGGGTTGCAGAGTCATTCATGTATTTCTCTTTAAGAAAAAGAAAACTTTGTATTGTAAAAGAAGCCTAAGGCTTGAGCCATAGGTGGGAGAAAGCATTGAGGTTTCTCCAAAATTGCTTGTATCGAGGTGCTTTCGTGTTGATTTTCTATGTTTCTTCAAGTTCTCCTACATCAACTTCCCTCTTCAAAGCGAAAGGTTAAACCCATCACTAAGATGGCTGATCTCTCTTTCCAAACCCCTCCCCACCGCGCTCTTTGGCTGGAACGCCCTTTCTCTGAGGGCGAAATTCTCTCATCCATTGCTGATCTCGGCCATGACCGAGCTCTTGGCACAAATGGCTACGGCAGGAATTTTAGGAACCCTTTCACCAAGACATCATTGCCTTTTTCGAGGAATTCCATGAGAGCTGGATGATAAAAAAGAGCATGAATGCCACCTTCGTAGCTGTCGTTCCCAAAGTGGAAGGGGCAGAAAAACTCAAGGACTTCAAACCCATTAGCCTAATCAACAGATCCTACAAAGTGTTAGCCAAAGTCCTGGCCTCTAGACTCAAGGAGTTATTAGGCTGGGTAATCTCTCCCCACCAAGGGCCTTTTGGGAAGGACTGCCAAATCTTGGATGGTACCCTTGTATCCCACGAGTGCATCTATTCTAAATACCAATCTATGATTCCGGGTCTCCAGATATAACCCGATTGGGAAAAATCTTATGACCATGTGGATTGGGAGGTCCTAGATGAAACTCTTCACTGGATGGGCTTCGGGGCACATTGGCGCAATTGGATCCAAGGGTGTATTTCCAATCTAGTGTTCTCGGTGCTTATCAACGGCTCACCGAAGGGGTCTTAGACAAGGGGACCTCTTCTCCCCTTTCCTCTTCGCCACAGTCGCAGAGGTTTTCAGTAGGTGTTTGGCCAGAATGTATCAACATGGTCTCTTGGAGGGCTTCACGTGCTCCAACATACGCCCGACTAGCTCTCATGTTCAATACACCAACAACACCATCGCCTTTGGTGGGGCATCCGAACAACATTTGGATTCGCCTCTTCTCTTTCTGAAGTGCTTTGAGTTGGCCACTGGATTTAAAGTGAATATGGCCAAATCCAAGATGATCGGCCTCACCATGGAGCCTTCCGCTTCGGACACTCAAGTTTTCCCTGATAGATGGGGATGTGCGGTGGACCATCTTCCATGCACCTACCTGGGTCTCCCTCTCTGCCTTGGCAAACCTAAACTCAGGCAATGGGGCACATCATTGGCAAATTTGACCGCGCAGATCCTTGTCCCCTGCAGGTAGAGTTACCCTCATCAAGGCCACCTTTTCAAACGTTCCTATATTCCAGATGTCCCTCTTCCATATGCCCCCTACTGTCGCCTCTCGCCTCAAAATACTCATGCGCAAGTACTTGTGGTCCGGCGATAGTGCAGCCAAGAGATACCACCTCATTTCATGGACCACAGTTTGCAAGCCAAAGTCTCAGGGGGGACCTGGGTATTCACTCCCTCAAACTCAAAAATCTGGCCCGTTTGGGCAAATGGTGGTGGTGCTTAGCAACCTAGGATGGCCACTTGTGGCAGATCGTACTTCGGCACAAATACTGGCTCCATAGTTCCCCTGGCTACCCCTTTCTTCTTCCTACAATTCCTGCTCTGTTGTGTGGAGGTCCTTCCTAAACTGCCTTTCTCTTTCAAAGTTAATATCCGCTTCCATGCTAGAGTGGGAAACAACATAAGGTTCTGGTCCGACCTCTGGATCGGCCATACTCCCCTGAGAGACCTTTTCCGAATCTTTTTTGGTCTTGCTAGAGACTCCAACACAGTTGCCGACTCCTTCGAACCTATTGGAGCCTCCCGTTCTTGGAACCGAAATTTCTATAGAAACCTCCTTGATGCAGTGCCCTTTGCCTTCCTTCAAGTCCAAGCCCTCTTACATTCCGTCTACCTCTCCCCCCATGGACTAGACAAAACCATCTCGTCCCTCACCTCAAACGGCTCCTTCTTAGTTGCCTCCTTTTACTGTAAACTTCAATCCTCCTCTACCCCTGTTCACCGGCCCACTCTATTGTCATTAAGGCCTGGCAGCCCTTCATTCTCCCCATCCAATTTTCCTGCGGGATGCCACTCTCCGAAAGAGATTTGATTGTTGATCAGCTTTGCAGAAGGGGAATGACTACAACTGCTGCATCATGTGCACAGAAGATGAGGAATCCAATCCTCACATTTTCATCCATTGCAGTATATAGCCTACACGCCTTTGAAGGATACCCTTCTCCTCTTCAACTGGTATTAGGTTACCGTGATGTCAGTGCCCCAACTGTTCGAGATGGCGAAGTTCCTCCCATGGGCATCTTCAGGCATTCTACTGTGAAAGGCCTCTGTAGCAGCCACCCTGTGGGCCATATGGATTGAGTGTAATGATCGTATCTTTCAAAGTTGCTTCTCTCCTATCCACACTCTCAGGGACAACATCAGATCCAAGGTCATTTTTTGGGCCTCTAATCACAAGCTCTTCAAGCATCTCCCCACCTCTGCCTTCCACCTCAATTGGCAGAATCTGCTCTCCCTGAGGCCCCTCGACATCACTTTGGAGGCCCTCTGATCAAGGCAAGACCAAGCTCAATTTTGATGGCTTCTCACTCGGCAACCCCGGTCTCGCTGGCATCGGAGGCATTTTCGGGGATCATTTAGGCACCTCTCTTTCCTCTTTTGCCAAATCCATCGGTCGAGCTGACTCCACCGCGGCTGAAGATTTCGTCCTCCTCGAAGGGCTCAAACTTTTCAACCCTTTCTGGGGCACCCATCTCATAGTGGAAGGAGACTCAAGAAATGTTATTCTTTGGGTCCCGAGGGTGGCAACACCTTCGTGGAGACTACCCCACGTCTTTGACACGATCTTCGACATTTGCAGGTCTATTCCGGTTTCATGGACTCATATGTGGCAGTAGGCAAACCTTGTCGCAGACGCCCGTGCTAGAGAAGGAGCAGCAATAGACAGGAGACTAGTTGCGCTCTGCATGTTGTGGTTTTTTTGGGTTTCCGGCCATCCAGCCACTAGGCTGCCTTTTGTTGTATATCATTTTTTGGCTTACACCACTCTCTCGGTGGTTTTTGTGAAGTGATCATGTTGTTGGCAATCTGTACATTTTACCCTTTACTTTAATACAATTATAATAGTGAATACGTTAAAAAAAAAAAAACAATATGCGCTCTCAAAAAGTGAGACTTGAGCATAAAATATAAAATGTTGGGGAGGTTTTTTAAGTTTCGATAATAAAATGCAATGTTTCGTTGAATTTCGTACCACTGCTACTAATAAGAGTAATAGTATTATATTATTATTAATTATTATTATTAAATATAATAATAACAAAATAATAGCCTGATTATTAATATAGTAATAGTACTATTGGCGTTGTGTATTCATCATCATCATCATCATCATTATTATTATAAGTACAATCACAACGAAGGATTAGCCTTACTATTAATATAATAATTGTAGTATGTGCATTATGTTTGTATTATATTTTAGAATTATCATAATATATGCTTTTGAGTGATGATATCATAGATTTTACCTTATATGTATTATAATTTAGGCTTATCATATGATTGTATATGCTATCATAATTTCATAGTTTACATTCTATGTTTTATTGTTCCATATCTATGAGTTTCTCTAAGATATTGGCTACCTTTGTTCATGCCATATTTGAAACCAGTATGCTAAGTAGATAGATCCAGGTATTTATGCAAATAAGGAATCACATACACATAGGAGTGCGATATCAAACAATTTATAAAAATTTAAAGATAAAAGATAACATTTATTTACAGGGTACATTATCCAAAACAAAGAAAAACATTTATTTACACGATTTCTTTGTAAACTACAAATTACATTTGAAAACCTGAGAAAAAAAGAACACAATCTTAGATGCATATCACTTGTGGAACTCGTGGTTCTAGGTTTGAAGCATGGCTACTTTATTCTTCAAGCATGTAAAGGCCCCCAAATCTGAAGAACAAGCCTAACTGAAAACAAAACAGAAAGAAGACCATATTGCCCTGAAATACTTCTTGGAAAGGTCGATAGGCCTTTGAGAGAGAACTCACCTTGTTTCAGTGGGGGTTTGATAACCCTGGGATTTGGGGTTGACAGAAACAACCCCGAGTTCTAGATCCTGCAAATCATAGAAAGATGAAGAAGTGAATGAAACCTAAAAACTGATGAAAAGAGTGAAAAGAAGGACCTTGACTCTTGGGGCACCTGTTTCATCTGAAAGCCCTTTGACGGGCACCATGCTGATTTTTCATGAGTGACCACATATCAAATATATGCTGCCGACCAAGACAAGTATGGGTATGTGGCGCTTCATACTGAGAGGTTAAAAAGAAAATGACTGGCTAGGGGCAAATTTAATTATTTGCATTCAATCAGATATAACCAATATTTCTGCCTCCCTGTGACTTGCAAATATATATCTTACTGACTAATTGACTTGATGTAATTGTATGCACCATCGAACACATGTGGTTCATTGATTACAACTGATTTGTTACGCAACATGGACGTGTGTCCTGCATCCGTTGGCACACCAATTATGCGAGATCTGTCTGATGCTTTAGAAACCTAAACATTTTTTCTTGATGTTTTTTCTTGTAGTCTCACCATAGAAGTACTTAATATCACCTAAAACCCCACTTTCCCCTTTCTTGAAATAGCATACGGATGAGTGGGTGTTTGAAAGGCAAATTTGAGACTCACATTTTTGACATGCATATTATTAGACACTGTTATATGCATGTGTGTCTATGTAATATAGCTGGTTTGTAATTATTTCTCCTTCCAATCTGTTGCAGAGCAAGATGCATTATGCTTAACAAAGGAAGGCACATTGTAGATGCTGTTTCGACTTTGGACTCCATATTACGTAATAACTCCCTGGAGATGAATGTGAAAGACGCACTAAAGCCATTGTTGCTCTCTAGCCTTCTTACACAGTAAGCAGCAATATTTGTTCTTCTTGCATGTTATTTGCCTCAATGCAGCTTGGTAGGCTAAAATCAAGAAGCGTGTGGCGTGTAACTACTCTATCTTGGGGGAGTTTGAGTCGGTTCCAGAGGTTGATGACCAAAAAGGTGCGCTGATGGATAGTGCGGTCCTCAAACTAGCAGATATTGCACTCTGGGAAATATTTTGTAATTCTAACAGGGATAGGAGAAAGGTAATATATCTATGGGGGCGCAATTCACTTGATGTACATCCCTTTTTCAATTGTTTTTTGTATTCCGCGAGTTTCCATATAATTAATAACATTAGTGTTGATAATGAATCTATATTGGCAGAATTCACTTGGCGCACAACTTCATTTGTGGCATGTATACAATATGTACATAGCATTGTGTGCGTCTCCATGAAACATGTTGTCTTTCTCTTGTTGACAAGTGTTTGAAGTAATGTATCTTAGGAAACACAGGTGAAGTATGGATTTCAAAAGCGTGTATGAATGAATGGGTAGAGGGAAGCTTCAATTCGTTTTGCAGTTTGGTCACTAAAACTGAGGTTGAAAGATTTGGGACTTGAATTTGGTTTGACCAACCCAGCAACCCCGCTCAACTCAGCATTTACGAGCATTTGTTTCTGTTTTATGTGTGTTGTGGGGTGGGAGGTTTTTTTTGTGGGTGGGGGATGCGGTTGGGTGCATAGGCTTTGAATTGGGTGTAGAGCTACCTTATTCATGTGTGTAGAGAGGGCAGAAGAGCAGCACGTAGAAAAACAATACCTAAAACTCTTCTTTGCATGAAGAGATATATTGGAAACAAAGGTCAAGAAATGGCTAAAGGAAAGTGATAATAACACAAAATTCTTCTATGCCATTGCAAATTCAAAAAAAGAAGACGATGTATCTGGGATGGTATTTTAAGGGAATGGGCGAAGGAGATAAGGAAACCAGGAATAATGAGTTTGTAAAATATTTTCAAAAGTTCTTTTTCGTGTGACTTGAAAATGGGTGATAAGATGGGACGAGTACCTTTTATAAAAGGGAAAAGTTTGTATTGAGTTGAGGCTCTAAACAATCAAATTAGAGCCTACTTTTAATTAGTGTTGAGAAATGTGTTTTCAATACTGAAAATCTTTGTGATAACTTTAAAATATAATTTTATCTTTATTTATAAAGTTTAAAGCTTAAAAAATAGTGTATATCAAAAGATCTACGAAAATTTGAAAATTGTGAAAATCGACGGTCTAAAAATGCATTACAAAATATATCATTTCCGAAACTTGAAATCATTTTTTTTCTCATGCCCATGAATCTTGATGTCTAGATGATCAATTTGAGGATATTTGGGTATCAAAACAACTGCTTCTAGTGAAAATTTTAAGGTAGGCTCTAATTTTATTGTTTAGAGCCTAAGCTCTTTACAAACCGCACCCTTTATAAAATTGTCAGAGTTACATGCAAAGGAGTTAGAGGCGATTGAAACTGAAGAGGAGTTTAAAAGGGCAGTTTCATGATGGTAATGGAATTTTGGGAGAGGGGAGTTACTGACAAGGCCAATAGTTCAACTTGCATTGCTCTAGTTCTCAAGAAATCTTGTATCTTGGGGATTAATGATGTTTGGCCCATTCATTTGTTTACAAGTATCGCCAGATCATTAGTAAAATTCTAGTTGAAAGAATTAAGGTGGTGTTTTGCAGGTCCTCAATCTGCTTATATTCACAATAAAAAGATAATACAACATTCTTATTGCTCAAGAATACGTTCATTCAAGAGCTTTAAGCAGAGACTTGGGTATTTTATTAATATTGGACATGAAGAAAGGATATGATCATGTCGTTTGGAAGGTGATATTGGCGATCATGTATGGGTTTTGGTGTTAAATGGATCCAGGGGTGTTTCGATAGTGCTCACTTTTTAGTCTTGGTAAGTGGCAGCCCAAAGGTTTTCTTGAGGGCTTGGAGAAGAATTAGATGAGGTGATCCACTTTCACCTTTCTTATTCACTTTAATAACATAAGGATTCAATATTATATTACAAAATGTGGTCAAAAGATGATGTTGTAGTGGGTTTAACGTCTTTGCAAATAGGCCATGCGTTTTGTATTTGCAGTATGTTGATGACATTCTAATGTTTGTAATGCTGGTGTGAACCAGGTCTTATACATTTGAAGGTTTTGCAATGCTTTGAATTGGCGTTGGGACTAAAAGTTTACAATTGTGGTGGCATGTCAGTTATTCTCTTGGCTATCATATGGGATGTACTTTGGAGCATTATACTATAAAAACTTGGGAATGCCTCTATCATATACAATATTGTCTAGGCCAGCCCGGGACCCTTTCTTTGAAAGATTCAAGTGAAGTTAAGACTTATAGAAATATAAGCTCCTTTCTTTGGAGAGGCGTATAACTTTTATGAAAATCTTCATTGGCTAATCTTCCAATCTATCAAATATCACTTTTAAAACAAATAATTAGGAATGAGCAATGAAATTTTTTGCCGGGATCATATGAGCATGTTAGTGGGGGATAAAGTACGCATTCCAAAGAAGGAAGCTTGGGGCCTTGGCCATAGTATTGTTGAGCCTCATGATGAGGACTCTGGCTCCATTCTCACTAAAAGCGTAGGGGCTCAAAAAATCCCCACTAACTTATCATTTTTTTTAGAATGGCCTGGAGCCTTGGCGGTAGTATTGTCGAGCCCTATGGGAAGGTCTCTCACTCCATTATCACCAAAGGGTAGGAGCCCAAATCCAAATTGACATACCACTTTTTTACTTACCCTAAAAGAGAAGCTTGGTATAAGAAGGCAGAAGTATGTGAATCATGCGTTGGTTACAAAATGGTGGTGGAGATTTTTGAATGATGATCAACAATTATGGAAGCAAGTGTTCCTCGTTTCTCTTAGTTCGGTGATACAGGCAGGGCGCCTTCTCAACAATCTCAAGTTTGGAGGGAAATTTTCAGCTGGAAATCAGTTGTTGAAAATTATACTAGGTGGCCGATTGGAAGGGGAGATAGGATTCAATTTTGGCATAAAAAATGGCTGCGGGATAGGCCCTTGAAGTATACTTATCTTAAATTATCTGAGAAGAGTTTGCAAACTGATGCAAGAAAATTTTAAGGAACAGTAAAAGCAATAAGAAACAGAGCTAGATACAAGCACAATTAAAAAAAAATTAGGGTTTTTGTTCTATACCCAAGTTAGGGTTTCAAAAGCCTAAGCTTTTTTATTTTTCAATTTCTAAAAATCATGTAGAATTAGCCCCTCTCAAAGCCTCACATATCTCTTATATACTATATTTCAATGTTCAAAGGCATTATATGTCCATACAATGATTAAAATAACTTGTATATCCTAATTTAAATTTAATCTTATAATGGCAGTTTTACCCCTGTGAACAATACCCATGAATAGTACTAGTGAATATTACTCATGAAATAAATAAATAAAAGTTATAAAAACCCTAGAATTCTTAAAAAGCTAAAAATACCTTAGAAATAACCCTAAAACTAAAATTATAATATAGGTCCTTTAAAGTTGAATAAAAATATAAAATAAAAATAATTTTTCCTTCCATCATTCTTCTCTAGTTGGAGAAAACTTGTCATCAAGTTTTATTGTGTGTTAAGATAAAATTGGCGTTATTCTGGTAATATGCTTCAACTCGAATATTGTAAATATGATCTTGTAACTTGTGGGCTATTGCACTAATCACAATACAACGGCTATGCATTAGAACTGAAAAAATCTCGAGGAAATGATCATAGTCGGTAGAATATTTTTAATCATATAAATTTATTGAAATTGTATCACTTCAGCCATGTATCTTTGTTGAATTTGCCCAAACTCAGATTTAAAACACACCATGGGTGCATCTTTGAGATCAACGACTAAACCAACTTCACATATCAAATCTCTTTTCAGTCCTTCGTCCTTTTTCTCGTCGAATACCAATTCAACAACAAAATCTTGATTATCATCTTAGATTGAATCTCCTACAATATCTTATTATTCATCTAAGTATGCGTCGATGATTGGTGGCAGATCCCAATCTACATTCTGTTGATTTTCGATACGATATGTGTCAAAATCAATATTTTTATCCTGCAAATTGAAAACTCTAGAGTGGTGTCCCCATATCTAGGTCTTTTGTCATTATTTCATCACTTGATTCCCCACGTGGAACGCAAAAGTAACTTGTACTCAAGATCCTCTTGGGTTGATAGATCATCGTCTTGCCCACTATTAAGGCTCGCGAGCTGATGTACTTGCCTTTTAATTTCATCAATTATGTCATCTATAGGATTATAGGGTGGATCTAAAAAAATCTCCCTTCTACTGGCCTTTACGCTACCATAGAGTTCATCGAAATCACAAACTCTAGACAAATAATCAACAAAAAATTGATGTAATCAGCAAGATCTATGTTGTTTTGACCAAACTTTGTTCAAAATAAGCAAACCCCAACACCTTTTTCTTTGAGTAGGTGTCAAGAGCAATAAAAAGCATACACAAAAAAGATATCAATTTTTTGACATCTTAGATCTGCTTCTGGAGAGAGAGCATTCAGCTTTTGTATCTTGTGCCATACCGGCTTTTGGATTTTTGGAACATATGCGAATTTGGCATAATTAATGGGTTCCAGGCACCTGGAATCCAGAAGCCAATTTGGCACATAAATGTGTTAGACCGGCTTCTATGCTTTCTGGAATTTAAAAGTCAGTCTGATACAAAACTGTGTCAAACTGGCTTCTGGAGTCCAGAAGCCAATCTGGCACATTTGTGTGCCAAACTGGATTCTACACTCCAGAAGTCGATCTCGTAGAATTTGGGCAAGACCGGCACCAAGAAATTTAGAAGCCAAACCGGCACAAATTGGGTTGGAGCATCTTTTGGAGGCCCGTGGATGCTTGATGCTAGTTTGGTACATGTTTGTGTTGGACTGTTTTCTGGAATCCCATAAACCAGTTCAGCACATTTTGTGCATGACTAACTTCTAGAATTTCAAAAGAAAGTTCGGACCAAGTTATATGAAGAATCTTACAAGACTTGAGGGTTGGTTGCAAACATAAACATTATTGAGGTTAAGAGTGTAGTTTACAAGAATATTTAGGGCTGGGGGTGCTGAGATCGAGGTTATCGATTTGTGGAATTTTGGATAAAAAGCCACATCTAAGACCAAAGTTTATTAATCTCGCCAAGGTATAATTGATATACAATGTCCTCTTTCAACATTTCAATCTTGTGTCCTTGTAAGAATCACTATCACCACTCCTCGTGCCATTTTTTTTTATATATGGTAAATCCCAATCTACAAACTTTTTTTTGTATGTAGATTATTTCTCTCTACATACAATGCAGGAAAATCGCCTCTTTTTTCAAACATGTATCCAAAATATCTTCCCAAATTTTCACTAATGCTCAAGGAACCTCCATCTCCCTTTTGCACCATTAAATGATGTTCATCGAATCCCCTTCAATGACTCATTTGGAACCAATATGTTTTGCAATTTTGATGCCATTGGAAATCTGTTTTGCAATTTTGATGCCTTGCAGCAAAGAGCTCGTCTCAACCTCCTTTGCAGTAGTAATCCTAGTTAGTCCATGATAATGCTTCAATATCACCTAATTATGATCTCTTAACAACCCACCTATTCCACTCCTCCTTTTGTTTCCAAAAGAGCTGCCATCAAGATTTACTTCTATAAAACCTTTCTCAGGTGGATCCCAGTTAGATCTTTGGGTTTTAACATTATTTACTTCCATCGACTCCGTTATCATATGCATCAGTTCCAATCTATATTTATACCCCAAAACTCATTTATGATGGAAGCCCATTTGGGAAAAAACCTTCTTTTTTTCTAATGTTTAGCAAAACCGTCGTTATATTTCAAATGTCCTTATGTTCCTTTCTTTTCATATATCCCAAATTATAGTCCCCTTCGCTCTATGGTATTCCCTTCTGTTCCTTGCTTTTCCATATCTCCCACACTATATCCCCTTCATTATGCTTTATGGTATCCCCCCCCCCCCTCTAAAAAAAAACTCTTTTATTAGTATCAGTTTCAAACTGTCAAATATGTCCCTAGTCCGATTTATTAAACTGACATTGATTCCGATCACTTCTATCACTCACCAAGTACATTTAGTATATTCAATGTTCACAAAGTAGACACAGATTTACCAATATCTTCCCCCTCTTCTGCAATCATTACATTTACCAATATCTTCCTTCGAGTCAAGGCAATATTATTATATATTGAGTATGCCTGATTGTGGTGGTGATTGGCCAGGGCTAGGAGAACCAACATGAGTACACAAATAACCTAAGTATCTATCTGGGTATTGACCATGTGTAGAGTGGTCATAACTTAATGGACATGAGTTTGTATCCTGATACAAAATGACACCACAACATGTGCACTTACAGTCATATTCTGGGAAGCCACTCTTCTATATTATGATTCAACTAAGAAGAGCTAGTGTACATGTGTCTTGAAAAGGCCTCTATATTTGAGCAATTACATGTCCCACAGGGGTGCACAACCATTGAGAACCTGATAATGGAAAGATTGACTAAGGTGACTTTGATGTGATCAATTATATGTCTCTGCCATAGACTATGGAACATAGGCCCGTTTTGTCATCTTGAGATAACGTAGACCTTCATTTTAGGCTAGCCCAATAGAGTATTCTAATGCTTAGTGTAAAGGCTAAATTTTTATGTTTTTTTAGAATTTTCTGGATTTTTTTCTAAAGCATAAAAAAATCCATTTTACACTTTGTTTGGGGAAAAATCCAAACAAGAACATCCCGGCTATAAGGTGACCACGTGGCAACTCAACATCCCTCCATAATGGTGACATCATCATGACATGGTAATCTAGGTGGTGGTCCTCTTTTAGAATTTATTGATTTTTTAATTTATGTTATATAGTTTTATGAAATTTTTAACCTGTTATGTCACATGGTATGGTTCCCACAAATGATTTTGGTGTCATGTGATAAGGGTCATGATTAATCAAGATATTTTAGCCTAAATCTTAACTCATGGGAGAAATTAAAAATTAAAGTAGCTTTTGAGTGGTTGTATTTCATTGGTCAAATACATGAGAACTTTTTGGGATGATATTTTCTAATTGGTTGATTTATAAGATATTTTTCTTACAAGGGACACCTTTTCAAATTGCCACAACGGTAGGCCCCTACCTTTATGAGACTTTATTATTTTCATTAAAAGCATTGGTCACTTATGGAATTATCAAAAGACAAGAAAGGAAATGATTTATGGTTCAATGACCTTATGGTAAAATGGCTAACTTGAGATTTTTGTGGGTAGATAAAGGTGTGAAAATCACATTCATTCATCTTGATGGTTAGATGTGGATGTGCGGTTAGGATCTAAGTCTTCTCATGCATCATAGATGAAAAGCATCAAGGGTATAAATTGCTTCACTAACCATCACTTTAATATATATTTATAATTTAGGTTTCATAAACTCTAACTCACTTCATTTGCAAACTTTAGAGAGAGAAAGGCAAAGAAACCTTGGCCTCCACGTACCTCCTATTTAGTACATTCCTTGTGTTCTAAAATTTGAGCCACAAGCAACCATGGTGTTCCCCTCTCTTCATGGAAACTAGCTAGCTCAAACTCCACATTTGAGAAAATCATTTCGATCATTTTTCTTTTCATTTAAGGTTCATCTTCTTCATGTTTGACCACTATAAATCTTAAATTTCAGTACCTCTTTCATGATATTATCTTAAGTTTTTATGATCTTCCATGTCCAAATTGAACTATATCCATATTTGCTTTCAATTTGCATAGTCTAAATTGATATCCCATCTTCTAGACAACTTTTCTTCCACCATTTCACCATCTGATTTTTTTGAGTAATTATAATTTATAGATCAATAAGTATTTACCGTCTCTAAGGTTTCATGAAAGTAGAAAATTGTGCAAGCTTAATTGCTTAAGAAATTGCTTTATGCTAAAATACACCATGGACACATATGTGCTTATTGTCAAAGCCAATTAATCTCCATTTCTCTCGATAATTTTGATATTTAATATTCAACTTTTTTCTCTCATTTTGAACCTATCTAAGTGGTGAAAAAGTAATTGCATGCTTCCTATGGTTTAGTGAAGTAAACCCTGTGAGAATTTCAAATAATATGTGCTTTCATCTATGGGATAACGTTAAGTCCCTAAAAGCTACAATTGATGATCCGGGACAAAAGGTTCGATCATTAGCTTCCCATTGGGTTTCTTGCAATTTTATTTACTATAATTTAAAGTGACTTAATATTATTGCTTTGAAGAAATTGAGCATGTCATATTTGAAACATGTTTGTTTTTATGTCAATTTAGCTAATGCTTTAATACCATGATAAATCCTTGGTCATAGACCATGCAAATTAAATTCAAATATTTGGCCATAAGCATATTTTGAGTTTAAGATTTTATAATTAAATATGAAAATAGATTTTCAAATATTCCTAAGAATTTTTTACACCAAAAGTACATGTCATGATAAAATTTGGGGGTGCATCTTAATTGGATTGTTTAAGGTTGCAACCTTATTTAAACCACACCCTTCAATTTTATCACCTTTTCTATATATTGGATTAAGCTCATATTTAGTATCTCTACACTTTCCAACATCATACACCTATAAAAATATTAAAAAATAACTTAAACCCCCATTCTATTTAAAGGTATTTTGATAATTTTAAATTTTTCAAGTATTTTTAATATTTTAATGAGTCAACAGGGTTGAGATGTATTCACATAGCAAGTTTGAGCTTAATCCGATGTATAAAAAATAAAAAAATAAAGATACACTTTAACTCTCTTTTTTGAATTACCGGTTGATAATTTTACAACATGGGCAATTGAAAAGAATTAGATGGGAAAATAAATGAAAGGGGTTGGGTATTGTCTCAACCGCCAACAGTTTGTAGATGTATCTTTTTAAAGGTCGCAACTTATTAGCCCTCTCGATCAGATTAGCCACCGGAACAGTTAACAACACCAAATAACATTTTTAACTAGTATCATACTCACAGTAAAATAGAGCTTCAGTATCCCAAGTTTCGTCCAGAAACGAGGATAGACGAGTTCCAACCCAGCCCCGAAAAAGCCTCATACATTAGCATCCATGTTCTCACTTACCAGGAAACTAATTTTTCTTTAGCAATTGCCAGAGCAAACATGCTCTATCATGGTCTGTACTTCCTACTATACACGACAATAATTAAGACTGTTCCATGCGATTTTTTACATAACCAGAACTAACACACTGAAAGGGAAGACTGAAGTTAGAGATCCGTGGCCCTTCTTTTTGCATTGGGTCTCTGTTTAAATGAGGGATCGAGGTTGTTATCTCGGAGCTTGTACCTCAACCAAAACCACACCAACCAGAAAGAGACTTTGCACGCATGCTAACTATCAGCATCCGAACCAAAATCTGGTTCAGCAGGCTTTTGTAGCCTCACCAGCGGGGTCCTATCTGGCACCCTCCTGCGCCCCAGCCTCGCGTTCCGAAGTGCAATCGCAGCAAACCTCGACACATAAACAGCAGCCCCAAGGCTTGGGGACATGGTCGAACCATCCCTCGCCATCGCAGCTCTCATTAACCTATCCTCCTCTTTATGCAATGACTCCTCAATCTTCTTTCTACAATGCCTTCTCCATGCAGCTTGAACGAAACAAGCAGCCCAAGTCCTCCATTGTGGAGAATAGAACCTGAAAGTATGGCGAAGCTGCTTGCTATGAAGCCTTCTAAACTGAGTGGCCACAAACTTCAAGTCATCGGCCATGAGAGCAAAGGCCTCAACCTCTGAAAGGGCCTTTACAGTTCTTGTTGAGGAAGGGAGATTAGATGATGAATTAGGGTCCAAGGCCCAAGTGAGAAGCTCTTCACCACAGAAGTCGCCTTCTTTAAGGAAATCAGAATTGAAAAAACCAGTCCTTCCTCCATTGGTAGTGACGGTCTCTAGTCTCCCCCTCATGATGAAGACCATCTCATCGACTGGATCACCCTCCCGTATGATGTAGCTGCCTTTGGTGAAGAGAGATGGCTTCAGGCAGTCACACAAGGCATCGAGCAACTGGTCATCCATGGTCCCAAACATAGGAACCTGCATAAGCATGTCAGTTGTATCAAAACGTCTTCTGTAGAACCTCAAAAGCATGCTAAAATTCGTTATCTTAATTTAAAATAATAACATTGGTCGTGATCGGTAGGTTTAAAAAGAATGAGCAACTTGAAGAGCCATGATATGCTATTGTACTTCAGCCATTGGACTGAAATAATACAAAACATTTATAGACAAATAAATTCCACAATCAGTAAATTTCTGAAAGTAAATAGCAAGAAAAAAAAAAAAGTGAACTTAGGTGTCCTTGATTTGCCACAACAAACAAAATAACCTATGTAACATGGAAATGTGCGTGTATGGCTTTTGGCATGTGTCAACACACTAAAGACATGAGAATGGCTTGAGGCCTTGGTGGTAGTACCAACGAGCCCTATGATGAAGTATCTGCCTCCATTCTCACCAAAGGGTAGGGGCCCAAATCCCTACCGACTTACCCTTTCATTCTCACTAAAAGGTAGGGGCCCGAATCCCCACTGACATACCCTTTGACTTACCCAAAAAAAAAATACACACTAAAGTCACGACACTCACGTATGACACTTTGAAAATATAGGCACTTCTTGTTAACCTTTTTTGTTGAAATCTCACTATAAAAATACTTCAATATCCCATAAAAGCTGACCTCCCCCTTCATCTAAATGATGTATAGATATGTCACGTCAAAGGGCCCACCATCGAGGTTGGTATTTTTGACATATTCGTAACATCAGTAATAACAATCCCTGCTGTTTATTTTAAAACAATATAGATACATGAAAGCCATTGTTGTGAAGCCTCATATCTGAATCCTATCTTGAAACCTTGGTTTGTACTACCCCATAAGAAAATTGCAAATTAGTACCATGCTTTGAGGTTGAAAAGGGAAGATTGAAGCTCTTCTTAATGAGATTTTTAACACTTGGCAGGAAAATTGAATTTAAGACAACATTAGAAAGTGGTTAGTTAAGCAAAGAGAGCAATTTCCATTGTCTCAAACGACATGGAGTACGTTGTACATGAAAGTATATGATAAATAGCTAAAACAGAAATCAAAGGGGAGAAACCACTCACTCTCTTAAGTAAACCCAAGCAAAGATGTCTCTTTATGTCCCTTCTAAGATCCTTTGGAAGATTACGAATCAAAACATCTTCTTCCACCCCTCTGTTTTCCAACCATTTATATTGTTCATATGTCCTGATACGTTCCCTTAAGCTTTCAGGGAGCATTCGATGGGACATCCATTGCTCCGCGTCTCGCCGTTTTACCCTCATTTCTTCCAATCTTACAGTAGTGGACTGCAAATATGTCTGAAGCAGAGGCACAAAATCTTGATCAGAAAATAGCGACACACATAATGAAAAACCATCAAAATATTCATATGTAGCAAAATGGAAAGTACCACAAATGTTGAGGTGTAATGGGTAAAGTAACAAATAACAGACAAGGGGGCTAATATATAAGATCTGGGGCAAACACTAACCTTAGCAGCACAAGTTATTAAAGGTTTCTACGGCAAATTCTCTGGGAGAGAACAGATCTAAAGAAGAGAAATTCTATTTTCTGTAGAAATGCAGCTCATTTGGAGTTTCTCATGCCTATCACACCAAAACACTGAGGAACATTAGTCAAGAGGATTCCTATTGGACAAAAGATTGATGTGTTTTTCTCAAAAAGACCTAGTAGCCTGACCTTATCTTGAGGATTATCAGTTTTGACATGTGCAATGGTGTGGTAGGGCCTAACTTACATGAACTCATTTTTATTACCTGGCATGGATCACATGGTATTGAGATTAGATTAATGATTTGAGGAGCAACAAAGTGATTCATGTTTGGGTGACAGGCTATTGGAGGTTTTGGTAATATTTCACCAATTTATCAGAATACACATAAATTATCAACTATTCAACTCATGATTATACGTCCTTTGATGGAATTTTTGAAATTGGATCAAACTAAGTGGGTGAGATTTTAAATAGTTCATCTCTTGGGCGCTTTTTCGATAAATTTCCCTTTTTCTGGAATGCAGGTTTCCTTATCTTTATTGGATAAAATAAAGTCCTACAATATTTGGTTTGATATTCCAGAAGATAGCACACAATTTCTTGGATAGAGTAATCAACTCACTCATAATTAAATAAAAGGTATCCCCAGTAATTTGAACAATCTTGTTTAAAATAATGTCCAGGTAAATTGAAATTCTGAATATGAAAGAAGCTTAACACCCCATAAGATCCAAATTTTCTATCATTTTGAGGTAGATTAACCCTTACCAAGTCTTCTTTGAGCAGTATCCCAGTCTATTACATGTCCCTGTTCCATATAAGAGGGGCAAACAAGATTGAAGGCCGCAAAGGGAGTCAACACAAGGGAGAGCAGGGAAGTGGGAGCATACTTCACTTGGTAAATTGGGACAATGTCTAAAGACAAAGAATATCGGGTTTGGAAGGATGAGACAGATGAAAAAAGCATCTCCGGGCAAATGGCATAAGTGACATGCACTCTCCCAATAAAGGAGATGCTAAGGTGACACATACATTGGCAGGGGCCAGGTAAACATAAATTCCCTACCACAAGTTATGACATGCACATCCCCCACTCAGAGAAATGCTAAGGAGATCCATCGTCCAAGTGCAATGTGGGCAGCCTCCTTAGACCATCGAACTTCTTGATTACCAATAGACTCTGTCCAGTAAGTTATTGAGTTGTTTATTTGGAGACACAATCAGCTGATAAGAATGGGAGAGGACTTTGGGTTAATCGCCTCGGTTGTCTGGGATATAGAGTGAGATATCTTCCATTGAAGTCATATTTTCCCAGAGAGATCAGGTAAAGGGTTTGATGCATTGTGTGGCCAGTCTTCTCTATGGACTAGACTTGTGAGTATTGCATCTAAAGTGGCCGACCAAGAGGCCTTGGCTAGGAATGAATTGAGTGGCAATGTTTATGTGTGTGAGGTGGGTTGATGTGTGTGTGTGTGCATGTATGTGGATGGGGGGGAGGTTGGGGGCAGGGATGGAAGTGGTCTGTTGTCATAGGTTCATAGAGAGAATGTCAGGGACAGAGATAGAGGTTCTATGCCAGCTCCTAATATCTTTGGGGTAGGTCTTTATCAGAATAAAATTTAAATATAGAATTGGAATAGGTATCTGTTTTGTTTCGTGGATATGACAAGATGCTGGGAGCCCCAGCTAGTTTGGATTTCTTCCTTGTTTCTTCCTTTTATGCAGTGCTCTAGGACAATACAATTACCCAGATTGTCATGGAGCGTTACAAATCCTCCTAGAGACCCCTTCGGAAGTTCAAGATCAGGTACTAAATGATTGATCATCTACAACATGGGACTACAATTCTTAATAGGTGCTACACGTGTTGAGAGGCAGAAGAGTCTGTGGATCAGCTCTTCATGCATTGCGCTTTACTAGAGATGCCTAGGGTCTCTTTCCAGACCTCTTAGGAATCTCTTGAGAGATGCCTTCCTTTTTTAAGAGCAACAACACCTCGACATTATGGTTCCTCTCAGTAATTTGTCTCTGCCCTTTCTTTGTTTCTCAACCTTTGCATGTAATTCCATTTGACCTCACCAACCAGTGCAACTAGATTATCCAATCTTAATTCTATATGTGTGGTTGCTTATAAAACATATGAGAATTCAGATTTCATTTTTAGGGAATTGTTTGACTTAAATGCTCGAGATAAATACATATGAGATTTGAGTATGGCATACAGGGTTCATATACCCAACCTTCAGTTAATCACGATATGCCAGGTAAATGATGGTTTCACCATCTGTAGCATCATTTATGTTGGGTAGCTCACACAGTTAACAACATTAAACACCCCTTTGTGCTTCTGTACAAACTGGAGTGAACATAACCCCTATTGATATGGACCCCACTCCATCTACTTCAACCCTCTTCTGTTTTGCTAGCTTCCTATGGAGATCTGCTCTCCGAGAAATGCTTCAACTTCTAGACAGATATATAATCCTTCATCTGAGGTATTTAGCAATACTCCATGACAAGAAATCTGAATCTTCCATGATCCTTTTTCCCATCCAGAGGTTAACAGGAAGTGTTTAAGAATAATGCTTCAAATATGTCTTTCAGGACAGCAGTATTTGCTTTTATTGGTTACCAACACTCATCCAATTCAACATGTTAACTTATTGTGTATTAATCTCATTTCCATTGAGGAAACCTGATTTTGACCAAAAGTACTTGGTTATGTTTCTCCATATCTGCTTTATTCAGAAACTCTAAAGAGTCTCCATATCTGCTTTTTTCAGGCAGCCTTGCATTTTGCTACAATGACCATTGTGGCATTGGGTCGATTTTGTATTTTGAGAGAGTTCATTTTGATCTTTCAACATGCCTACGTTTTTTAGTGACATTAATTCCATATTTACTCACCGTTACATTTGAATGCTCTTGCACAAGCTTAATACGAGTTTTCACTGATTTTCTTGCATAAGAAGGCTGATCATTTTATCAATTGGTTCAGGTTGACTTTGTGGCATCGCTAGCCTATAATTACGAAAACCGACATTCCCTAATTTGAGGGATTTGTTTGTTTTAGGGCCAGTTAACCAAGGATTGTTCTTTCTAAAATGTTGGGGGAAAGCACAGTAGGTTTTACTTAGGCTCTTATTTTGGAAAAAGGTAGAAATATTTGGGTAGATCAACACTTAGGAGCCTGTGTTTGCAAACTCTCTTCTAGAGTTCTTTGTAGACTTGATTTTAGTTGGACTCACATCCATCTCCCTCAATTTATTATTTTAGTCTTAGATTGATATCTTTGCATAGAATCCACTTTTAGATCCCTAGGCCTAATTCTAGGGTGGCAATCCGGTGCCCTTCATAGTGTCTTAATCAAGCCCTTAGGGAGTCATGACCCACTAGAACTTTAGGCCTGCCAAGAGGAACAATAGCCACATAAAACTATTCAAATATGCTCTTGACTGTTCATATTTATTAAGTGATCTTTGCAGCACTCATCCTTACAAATCGTTCCAGTTCTAATACGTGGAATTGCATTGAAATTAAAGATATGGATATCCTGACAATTACTAAAAAGGATATAAGTATATACTGATGTACACCCAAGGGCACACATCCAACAGTCAAACACAAATCCATGTTCAAAAGAATTAAGGCTGAGTAGATATAGTAAATAACCTGCATATTGCCAATTAGAAGAGCAAATAACACCAAGCCCATTATGGCAATTAAAACAGCAAATGCAATCTCCCAGACGTAAGTGCTGGTTGCTAAATTTTGGCCAAGAGAACTGCAAAAAAAAGCAGAATTTATATATTAGCATAAAAGATGTAGCAAATTGTAATTAGTAGCAAGCACATTGGCTGATACATCTGATATTTAATGCCATCAGAACCTTGATAGAATGTTCAAATTAGAGAACCAGTTTCCTTGACATAACAAACAAAGAGAACATGTAAGACTGAGAAGGATAATTTATCTAGTGCAAATGACCCGAGATATGCTTGCATAATTTGACCATCTCCGTAAAATACATGCACTTGAACTGCTTGTCAATCTAATATTATAATAAAGTCTAGTAGATAAAATAGATATATGATGTCAATGAGTCCATATAGAAGTCATGTGTAACATATGCAAACAACAGTAATATTTCTGCATGGGAGCCAATTTCCATCTCATAGAATATAACTTTTGCATGATTTTTTGTGAGGCATGTAAAAAGTTTTAATAAATGAATCCATTTGTGCACTTTACGAAGCAAGAATAAATGGTAGTGATAGTGGCAAACACCAGAAATTTGAGGATAGTGAACCAAGTATTCAATTAAAGTCACATGAATAATGGAGATGAAGAGAAAGGAATATAATCAAATTTTTAGATGTGAGTGGAAATGCCATACAAAGCCGTACCTAAGATTTCGAAGACCCCACCAAAAGCAGTAGAAGATTTTCTGAGGAAAATCTCTAGATTTGACAATAGCAGAGCTAAGAGCTGGGCTGTATATCCCGAAGTCAAAACCCCCCGTAGATTCAAGTGACATGGGGCACATAGCATTCAGGAATGAGGTATTTTGAGTTGGTTGTTCTGTTCCACAATATATAGATGACAGGCATCCTTTTGGTGCACACTCCTTTCTCCAGCAAGCATCTAGCCTTTCAATTGCAAGTAAATACCAAAATGCTCCAAGTATCTGATAGACAAGAAATTTTCAATAATATCCACATGAATTGAAAAAAAGAAAAAGACTCCAAACTTCTGTGCCAAGTAATGAAAATAAAATTAAATGAACATATAATTAATGGATTGGCGACGACGCAGTTAGTGCTGTACTTCCAACTAAGGGCACCACCAAGTACTAAGATTCCCAGACGAAACTATCTTAAAGGACGGGAAACAAACATAGTTCGAAGAACCAAATAAAGTCAAGAGTATTGAGTAACATCGATGTTTCAACAGAACATTGAGGAATCACCTTTTACACAAAAGGTGGTGATTTGTGTTCAGGTCAGTTAGATGATTAGGTACCGATATGGAGCTGTTCTCAGATGCAAAGTCTAAATATGCTACAGATGTTTATAGGTGATATTGACATGCCAAAAGGACAACATCAGTGCAACTAAGATTGCCTCAAATCCGGTGTTTCCTAACAGAGACGAGCAAGTGAACTCGTGCAGCTTTGTTATGCTCCTTCAAAGGATGAGCTGTCAATTAATTACAATTAGCTAAAGGCTTGTTTGGTATTCCCACAATATTGTGGTATGGAAGCAATATAGCAGGGGATCTACTTGTGCTCAATGTGGTGTGGGACGACACTGCCACAAGTGAAGCCATCAATGGGGAGGATCTTTACCTAATTCAAAGCAGGCCACATAATCCGCAGATTGTGGACTGAATGGAGCACATAGTTCCCCACTTTTTCCGCCAAATGGGCCATGGATCAGTTGAAGTACAAGGAAATCATCACTTTGTAAGTTGTCACACATGTCCCTAAGAACTTCAGTTTATGAGGGTTATTGAAAGATGCATGTATGGGTAATTGAAGTATATACCATGTAAATATATATCTTATATCTTTCTCGAGAGGTATTTCTATAATGTACCCCAGGGAAACTCTTGGCATGGTAATTGGTTGTGTTGTATAAAAGGGATTATCCCCCATTCTATGAATAATAATCAGATCCACGGGTTCTAACAAAATGCTTTGTAATAATGGACATCTGTATGGTTTCAAACGGCAAGGTCAGGCAATACTATCTCTAATCTACAATATGCGCTAATGATACCCTAGTCTTCTGCAACACCTCTGAAGAGGAGGTGAACAGACATTGGTTGTTTTGGAGATGCTTTGATGTTGCCACTAGTATGATTACTAAAATGGCAAAATCCAAGCTTATAGGCAAACCAGTTCCTGTTGATACCCTCTCTGCCCTTGTGCCCAAGCTGGTATATGCCACTAACAACCTCCCAAGAAATACCTTACTCTCCCCCATTGTGTTGGTAAACCTAGCAGGGCCCTTTGGGACCCGGTTATCGAAAATTTTCATCGGAGTTTGGATCCTTATCAAAACCTATCTCTCCAACCTGCCCATCTATTACATGTCCCTCTTTCTAATGCCTTCTAGTGTGGTCAATTCCTTAGAAAAACTCATGAAATCATTCATGTGGTCGGGAGATAGATCCAATACAAAGATCCACATGGTGGCCTGGGACCACATGTGTACTCCGAAACACCTTGGTGGGTTAGGACTACAGAACCTCAAACATACGAACCTTGCTCTCTTAGGAAAATGGTGGTGGTGGTATGCCACTAACCATGACTTCTTGTGGTTTAAGGTCTCTCTTCACAAATATGGCATGAATGCCATAGACTGGGTCCCTCTCAGAAGGCCAAGCAATCAGTCCTCTGGTAACTATAAAAGGACCTTTGAGGTCTCTCTTCACAAATATGGCATGAATGCCGTAGACTGGTTCCCTCTTAGAAGGCCAAGCAATCAGTCCTCTGGTATCTATAAAAGGACCTTTTCCTCATGCTAATGGTTTTTATCCTTTGTTAGGTTTAAGGTTAACTAAGAGAAGGGAATAGGATTGCTCTATGGTCTGACACCTGAATTGGGAAGCGACCTATTACGAACTTGTGGCCAAACCATAGTTACCCAGGGAGGGAGCGAAAAAAAACTCAGGGATAGAGAGTGGAAGAACAGAGCAAGGAAGCTGCGAAGTTCCTTGATCGAGGAAATGAGCTCCATACATGAGCAAATGTAGGAATCGAGATCCCTGCCTTCTAAGGATTGAATTCCATATTTACAAAGGAGCGGATCCCTTATAGGATGGGAGCGCGTTTTGCGTGTTAGAATCAAGGTTCCAAAAGTTCAATTATACATTGTATTGTAGCCTGGGAGCAAGTTCCATTCAACAATAGTTTTAACTTTTTCCAAATTCACAAACCTAAGAATCATGTTACTGAAAGTCTCTTGGACCATTTGTTATCAATGGAGCAAGATTTCACAAATGAGTAATGTTACTAAAATACCAATATGGCGTAGTACCTAATAAATCTTTGGGCACGAATGGACCTTTGTGCCCTCAGCAATCTCTATCTTTCTCTCTCTCCCTCTAGCTCTCTCATCAACTGGTGAAGGCATTGCAGACTTTTATTTATGGACTCTTATTCACTTCAAATTCCTTAGAGGAATATTGTGGTCTATCTCCCCCTCAACAATGTCAAGTACAAATTCTCTCGACCATCCTTTATATCTCATCCCAATTTCTTCTCCCTCCTTTCCCTCACTTGTTGAATTTCTTTGAAACTAGCCACATGTCACAATTCATCAGGTACGTAAAGTTTTGAACAGTAAAATATATAGGAAATCATGGCATTTAGAAAGTTTGTAGGTCATAAAAAAAAGGAGATCTACACTCCATTGTATATGAACAAAAAAATGTGTCGTCCAACTCGTACCCAAAACATAGGATACTTGATTCCAGGATAATGGAACCGTGGTTCTACTTACCCATGAAATTTTTGGAAGGGATTTGGGTCCCATTAACATAGGGTAGAGACCTCTAATTCCCGGATCATCCTTAATATCAAGCAATTGCCAAAATAGAGATCCCATGTTTCAGATAGCTAGATTAAAGATCCAGGAGCAGAAGCGACCCCTCCTTAGAAGATCCCAGTAACTAAGGGCCAAACTCTTTCCAGACCTTTTTCCTCTTGCCATAGAATTTGATTGTTTTGAACCTTCCCATCAACCCTGGGTGTGGAACCCAACCTTTAGAAAACCACCCTCCAGCACTAAAAACTGAAGACCTTCTAGTCTCCACAGCCTTTTGCTGAACTCCTTCACCAATACTTCCAACCACCCCTTCCCACTCTAGAGTCTTCATTGTATCTTCTTCTATAAAGCCATATTGCATGTTCTTACAAACCCTTCTCCTCTAACCAAAGACCAGATCACTCCCATACCTCCAAGAATCCAAACTTTTGATTCGCTAGTGATCTGCAATCGCAAGCTTACAGTAGACCATCTTCAAAGGAGAGGTTTGCCACTTGCAAATCGTTGTTGCATGTATCCCAAAGCAAAGGAATCACAAAGCCATCTATGCATCCACCGTTCCTTCGTTGTCACACCTTGGGCATCCCATTTGAAGGGCTTCAGTTGGCAATGGGTTATGCCCAAATCAACAACAACTTTTCTCTGCCTTCTTCTCCCCTCCCCCCTCCCCAACCCCAATGCTGGTCTCTTCCTTTGGAGAGGCATTCTTTTTACAACCCATTGAAAGATTTGGAGGGAGAGAAACTCTAGGATTTTTAATGGACAATAGAAGCCCATGTCCTACATTTTGGACTGGTCTGGCAACCTTGCTATCTATTTGGGCTTCTAATCATAAGCTCCTCAAGCACTTCACAAAGTTTGATTCTTTGATTCTTTAGGAGAAAATCTCACACAAACGTCCTAGACATCCTCTGTCTTCAGTGTGGTTCCCCCATGCCAGGGCACAATAAAACTAAATTGACACTCCTTAGGTGACCCCAGACCTTGTGGCTTTTGGGGAACTTTCTAGGACTCAAAAGCCAATATCTTGTCCTCTTTCTATGGACCTATCGGCACAGGCGACTCCACCTGGGCACAGGAAAATGAGCTTTTGGAAGGTCTCAAAGGGTTTAACCGTTCTTGGGGAAAAGCCTTGTCACCATAGGGGACTCTCGAAATGTCATCCTATGGGCACAAAGAAAGCATCAACATCCTTGGCATTTCACTCACATTGTTGACCGGGTTTGCCACCTTCAGGCCTTTACGAGTTGGCTTTCATCAATCTAACTAGAAGCCAATGTAGCGGTAGATGCTCTAGCTTAGGAGGGTGTTCTTGCTACTGTTGTTCCACCAATTCCATGGAGCCTTGTATTGTTTGCGGCTTTAGTTTTGAGTTTTAGTTTTTTGGACTGTATAATGCTCTCTATTATCTCCCCCCATTTCTCTCTATCTTCTTGCCTCCACTATGCACTCATTGTACTATCTCACTAGCACATACTTTACATTGTTTCAGTTTGTTGCTTGCACAAATCACTCCCCCACACACCTCTTACTCACCTCCCACTTTGTCCATCTCTCTCTCTCCCTTCAAAACGATTACCTTCCTCTTCTAACTCTTAAACCTCATCTTCTCTCTCTGCCTTCTCTCCATATCACCACTACCTTAGGCCTTTCCTCTTTACTCTCTGTCTCTCTCTAGTCCTAACCTCTTCCCTCTCTCCTCAAACCTCGTCTCCACTCTCCTCTCTCTTCTGCATGCCAACGTTTTGAGTTTCTAAGCACCCGATAGTGGGCTTCCATTTGTTCCTTTGTTAATGAAGTTTGAGCCCCCAGCATGTGGGCTACAACCTTTTTCATTATTTTTTGAGGCTGAGCACCTAATTTGTGGGCTTCCATTTGTTCCTTTGTTGTTGTTGTTTTTGCTAAGCCCTTTGGTATTGCCTCTAACAATTATGCAGATTTTCTTGCCCTTGAAGAAGGAATTCATCTAGTATCCAGAGGGATTGCTTTCCTCTGCAAATTGAAAGCGATTCATCCTTACTTGTAGATATCATTCATGATCGTTATCGTGCCCCATGGAGGTTACATACGGTTGCAGCTAATAGTCGGAGCATACTCTCCACTCGTATCTGGTCAATTTTCCATATTTTTCGTGAGGCTAACATGGTAGACTATGCGCTTGCTAAGAAAGTCTCTTTTAGTTTTGGAGCTACAATTTAGCATTGTCGACCGCCGAACTTTATTTTCATGTTTTACTACATGACTTAGCGCAATTGCCCTATTGTAGGGTTGTAATGTAATGAGTTGTTTGTCCCTCAATTTATATTAATGAAAAAATGGTAGGGGGCCTTCTCCCATACTGACTTACCCAAGAAAAAAAAAGCACCTAATTTGTGGGTTCCTTTGTTTTTTGGTCTCATGGGGTTTGAGCACCTGTCTTGTGGGCTGCAATATACCCATGTTTTTTACAATATTCTTTTGTGTACAAAATACCATGTTTGTGGGTTGCCCAATATGACTATAAGTGAGGAAATTGTAAACTCTATATCAGTGATATTTTTTTTTTATGGACTCTATATTAGTGATATATTCTTAATAGTTTCCAAAAATAAAGGAAAATGTTTTGATAGAGCAGCAGCCCTATCAAATAAGTAAAGCCTCACCTCAAAACTCACTGAAAATTGCAGTTCTGGCACCAAAAAACCTACGAATAAATCATCTCAGCATTGACCATTATGGTTGTGAAAAAAAAAAGGATTTCAAGCCCTTAAAATTGCCTAATATTGTAACACGTTATTTAAACTGCCCATTTCACCTTAAAAATAAGTGTTTACAGATCCACAAGATATCTACCATTTTTTGAGCTGCAAATTTCATAATCAATCGAGGAAATTGATTTTAGAGACATCAAAGAGATTTCCCATGCTCAAAGTATTTTCTGGATGATATTTCAAGGTGAGGCTTTACCTTTTTTTTCGTAAGGATTAGGCCCTATAGAAACTACATCCCAAAGAAAATGGTTTTGCTACACCTATGTATGCAACACAGACGAACTAAAACTCAGCACAATCATGAATATTTTTAATTGATGATACACATTAACAGTTAATTGGTGTTAGAAAATCTTTCAAAATTAACAGAAAAAGAATGCGTGAAATAAACTAAAACAACTCACAAGGTAATAGAATTTCAAAAATATAAGTATTACATTTAAAGCAAATGGGAAACTAAAAACCATAGGAAAATAAAAAAAAACATCCCATGATGTCCTATGGAGGCAGAGCAATTCTATCTTTCAATGGGATGAATCTCATTTGAACTAACAGGAAACAATCTGCACTCTTTGCACATTGTACAATAAATTACTTACATGGCTTGCAAGCATGTACAGAAATAGATTGAAAGCAGCTCCAGCCCATGCCGTTTCAGTTATCAGGCCAGAGGCCTTTATAACCTCTTTGTACAGGGGAACTATTCGAATGACTCTAGGTATATACTGGAATAGAATAACAAACCGCAGCAGGTTTTTGGTATTCAGTGGAACGGCACCACTCAATTTGGGTATAATAAGCAAGATAACAACCTGGACATAGCATTAAGTTAGAAAAGTTAGTACCAATAGTCGCTAAAAGATTCAAAATAAAATATTAACAAGAGAATAACTAAATGCCGAAGTTTACATATAACAAAAACAGCAGCAAAGAGGCTACAAAGGACTAGTAAAATTAGCCCAATTATATAAAGGGATTGTATACTATGAGACCATTTATCTTTATTTCAAGGAGGTCGCAACTACTTGTAGCCATTAGATGATAAATTGGATGACTTGGGATGTGTCACAAAGTTCAAGGAAATTTATTTTGAACTTTTGAGTCTAGTTAATGACACTCTTCCAACCATCCGATTTGAAATATGGCAAACAAGAATAATTGTGACCTCCTCATAACAAAAAGTAAATGGTCTCTTTGTATACTTTCCCTTAGATTACTGTTGAGGAAAATTAAAAAGGATACAAAGAAAATACTTTGGAATAATTGAAGGGAAACTGTTCCGAGAAAAAGATAAGAAATGCACTAATTTTAGGTCATTTCAGAAATGCTGCATAAAACAGTCGAGCATCTCTGATTTTCATGGATAAAAAATGTAGATGAGAAGCCTTATGGATGAAATCGTTAGACATTCATAAAAGGATTTGGGACATTAAGGATCGAATTTCACGAAACAGAAGTACAAGACAAATTATAGATAGTACTGCTTTCCAGCATAAGGCTATATATTATGGAGAGTACTTAGTGCCATTCTTTAATTCCTTTTCTGAGATACTCCACTTCCTTAAGGCATAATCACAGAACTTTTAACTAAATCAGATGACAGAAATCTAGAGCAATGAAGATAACAAAGAAACAAGTAACTGCTCATCTGTCTCAATAAAATAACCATTCGAACCACACACCTACCCATCCTGTCAATATTTAATCATCACATGACAAAATATTTATTGCTTAAATGCATCATATTTTTTCTTAAGACCACTCCGTCTGATAGTTAGCAGTATGAACATTTATCTATGAATGTGCATACATATGCATAAGTGATACATCATATGTGGATTGCAAAAAGGATTAGCATGCTCTAGAAGAAGGGACCCACTAGAGCACTTAAGCATGTTAGCACAGAAAAAATACTACAAATCTAGGATAAATAACCTCCTGGGAAGTTCAATTATCCAGTCACTCAAGCATTGTCAACACTTACCATTCATACTTTCATCCGACCCCCAAACCGCTCAACAGTTAGTATGGGCTCCAATTACTACAGTTGGAAGCTAAGAAGTTTGAAGAATAATTTCACTCGCCCAAGGTGGAAGCACGAGTAAAAACAGTAGAAATATCAAGGGATCGTAAACTCTTATTAGGAAGAGTTGGTTTGCATCAAAAAAGATTGTGTTTGTAAAAAAGAAATATATAGAATTCGCAAAAGATTACTGATTTAATGAGCTTGAACAACATATTAAAACCTTGACTGTACCTCATACCTGGGGTATTGGTAGAACAGCAAGAACATCAATTATAAAGTATGGTGCCAAGTAGCGTTTTGCTATTGCAAAAGAATCTTCAACCAAAATCCCTTTTCCAAAGACTCGAGAGGAAGGGGCAATGAATCCAGTTCGAAATTGAAAGAAAATATGCACCACATAAAAGATGTCCGTGAAGAAGCGCAACACACAAGCAGTAGTTTGCAACTTGTTATCCAAATCAAGACAGTTCGCATCCTTGCTAATGACTGGAATGTATAAGAACAAGGGGTCCACAGATACTGCAAGCACACATGTTGCCACGAATATTTTGTTCCATGTTTGGAGAAATTTTCCCTGTGGATCAAGTACCTTTTTCTCAGACTCTGAGCTTGGCTTCAATGAATTTTGCGAACCTCGGAAATGAAAGGATTGGCCAATGGTTTTTATCCTTTGTGATCCCTGTTCAAAGCCTCTATGAAGCCTGTCAGATATAGACCCTATTAATCCATGTTCGGAAGAAAAGCTTTTCCCCCCACTTGAGGATCTCTCTGAACTCAAGTCTTGAAACCTGATAATTTTGTGACAGAAGTCAGTGTTCGATATTGTAAGTTATGAAAGCAAAACATTAAAATTATCTATTGAAAGACCAGAATACTCTCCATTGCTAATCCATGGACCAAGAATCCAACAACCAGAAGTACATTAGGATTATGAACAGCTATATTCATAAAAAAGGTAATATAATGGTTATACAGCCCATAGTTACAAGAATCCACCCTTTGAACTAGAGTTCCAGCTCCCAAGTCAGCTCCAGTGATCTGAAGGAGGGATCTCAAGGGGGGGTGCGATTTTTTATTTTATGGACCTTGTTTCCCTTCATTAGGAATCTTGATCCCCTCCTTTAGGGATCTCGATCCTAGTAATCACGATCCCCATATCTTAGGGATCGCGAAGTGTTTGTACTGTGGACCTCAATTTTCTTATATGTGGGATCGAGTTTCTTATCTAAGGGATCTCGATCCACGGATGGAAGGTGTCTCAATCCTGATACCGATTGGAGCCAGATTCTCAAAGCATCATATCTGAGTGGCATTGATACACCAGACCATTGACCCTTCAATAAGGGATCGATATTCCCTTGACATAGTATCTAGATTCAAAAGGACAATGGATAGAATTTTTTTCTTTTTTGTGTTTTTTTTATTGGAAGCTGGAGCACAAACATATTTACTTAATATAACCAATTAACATACTCACCACAAAGTGGTAATGTATCTTCTGTAGGTATCAAGAGCACAAGAATTAAGAATAAGATTACCCTGGCAGGGAGTAGGAAGTAGGGAGAATGTAAGAGTCATTGACCCAGGGAGGAAGTAAGGAATAAGTCAAAAATTTTAAAAAAAAGTAAATACATTTATAAGTAACATGGCCCCTGCTAGGAAATTTGCTAAATAACTTGACCACAAACATATTTAGTTAATATGATTCAACAAACTCACAAAGTGGTAATGTATCTTCTGCAGGAAACAAGAGGACAAGAATTAAGAATAAGGTTATCCTGGGGGGGAGTAGGGAGGAGGGAGAATGTAAGAGTCATTGACCCAGGGAGGAAGTAAGGAACAAGTGGAAAATTCGAAAAAGTAAATCCACTTGTAAATAACATGGCCCCTGCTAAGGAATTTGCAAATAACTGAATATTATACGTAACAATACAAGGGCAAGGGCAATACAGTCATGATGTTGTGATCCCTGAAGTTGTTTTGTAAAACTTCAGCAGGTGGTGTTCTATGAATGTCAATGTGTCGATCATCTAGTCTCGTGCATCCTCAGCACCCTACCCCTTCTCGTGGCATTAAATCCTCTCTCCGTTATCAAGCAGCTGCTAAGCTATAAGAAACGACGAGGAGAAGATGGACAAAAACTACTTCTTAAATACATAGATGCATTATATCATTGCACTAATATGAGGACTCAAAATGCAAGCCAAGAGTCAAGGATTGGAGTTAGACTCAAGAGTATGTCTGCAGCTCTGTGCCTATGCGGTGTGCAATGAAGGTAGGTTGGTAACTGAGTGAGTCGGCCGATTGAATACCGTATTCAACTATTCACTAGACCTCAGATGATTTTGAAGAATTTAAGACAGAAAAAAAGTGAGTAATTTTATACTTACACTTCACATTCTAGCAACAATATTTAATGATAATTGAAGAAAAGAGAGTGAGTGACAAACGAGAGTCGAGAAAGAGAGCATTTAATGCCTCACAAATGGGAAGAGGATGCCATCATGGTGGAGTAGTGGACGACTACACTAAAACAGGTGAGAAAGCCTCTTTGACAACAAACATTAAGAGGCCCGATGTTTTCAGGGCTCTCACGGAAAGTAATAGAAGGCCACATCAGTTGGATGGGGGAAGCTTTTGGAAGCATATGAACACAACAGTGCCACAAATACAATTCAAAGCTCTCTCCATTTGAAACTCTTATGCACATAAGTGCACACTCAGACACACACACCCTAAAATTTGTGAAGAGTTGTATCTGCTGAATAACAATTATTGATGAACAAATTTATAATATCTTTATTCACATGCACGAAGCCTGAATCTGTTTACTCTTTACCGACTGTACACTGGGACCAAGCCTCCTATCAAAGAAAACACCCAAAAACTGCAAAACGAGTACAATAAAATACAGCTAAAACAAAAAGTAAAAGTAAAACTAGAAATAGAGAGTAAATGGGATCTAATTCCCTCTCATGTCTCTGCTTTAACCCGAATCTTCTTAAACGAGAGTTTCACTTCAATTTGTTTGGCTAGGAAGAGAGGGGATACACATGGCCTTTCGGTCCAAGTAGTAAACTCTTAAAGTGGAGTTGCCGGATGGCAATAACAGTACAAGTGAAGTAAGAAATGATACAAACCCAAGATTTCTTTGGCATGTGAGTTAAGGATTGAAGAGTGATAAAAGAAAGGAACGGAAAGGAATGTGTTCTTGCAAATACAAAGGGAGAAAGAAACAGGGAGAGAGCAAGAAAGAGAGAGAGAGAGACCACTTTTTTTTGGTTTTGAAAATATGAAAGTAAAAACTTGAAATTCATTATGTATTTATAGGGAATGATCATGTGAGTTTTCAAAATACAGGATTGTGTGATTTTCGATCCCGGTCGTTCATTCAAAATGCAATCTGGACGAAACCTCCCCTTGTACCAGTTAACAATTAAAGAGGTGTCTATTAGAACTATAAAATATTTCAACCGACTTAACCACCCAAGAAGCTCTTCTCCTGACCAATCTCTCATGCACAAGAACTATTCAATGCTTGTATGGAAAGAGGTAGATGTTTCACAACTCAAAATCCAAACTTTTTCTTTGATAATAATCATCTACTGATACATAAATGGTCCCAAAATTATGAATCAATAAAAAATCTCCCAAGTATCTATGTTGTCCAAGACAGTTGTTGTACAGGATGCTCCCGTGGGAGCATGCTATGCACAGAGCACTATTAAGTGAGATATTTTAAGACTCTTAGACTTTTAGGCACCTGTTCTTAAAAGAAGCTTAACATTAAAAAGTCTTAGACTTAAGACTTTTAAGAATCTATTATAAAGAGGCAGATGACATGTACAAAGGGAGCACGTGTGCCAAAAAATTCACAATTTTCATGCCGTTGACCAGGATGCACATGCAATTCCCTTCAGCATCGGAATTTCTAGTGAAATATTATAACATTAGATCAAAGCACTAGATTAGTCAAAGAACAAAAACTTAAAAATTGGATAGTAGAATGAGGTCAAGAAGTGTGAAGTAAATTGGCCTGAAATTTTACAGTATTATTCTCAGATTCCAAACTTCGACTCATTCTGAATTTTAAATAAGTAAATAATAATATACTGCAAAACTGAATAATATACTGCAGAGGACCTGTACATGACACAAGAGACATTATGTTACAATGCAGTGGCGAGGCTGTCAGGCTACTGTGACGGTTGTGCCTTATGTGCCACCCTAATGGAAGATTGCCCAATGACCTTTGCCAGTTCTCTAAATGTCCAAATGTTCTTGGTCCTTTGTGTATCTCTCCTAACTTAGTTTTAAGAAACCGAAGGCATTAAGGGAGAAGGCATATAAAATTTTCCTAAAGCTCATAATTTTTTTTGAGGAATGTTGACTTTTGTATTGCTATAGAGAGGAGTACAAAGATGTGATTATCCGAGAGTTCCCTCTAGGCAGGATTCTCAGTAAAATTAGGTCAGCAGACCCTATACAAAAAATTGGGTTATAAGATTACCCTCTTACAAAACTTTACAAGCAAATGCCAAAAATAGGGCTTATAAAAGTGCCCAGACACAGTGAAAAACAGTGCGATATGTACGAAAAGGGAGCCAAAAAATGTTAGGTTGTGGTCCAATGGTCCAGTGCAAAAGAGAATGTGGACCCGGTTTGAGCAACCTGACCCCGACTTCTAGTGCCGTCCCTCGCCAACCAATCTGCGAAATCGTTGGACGTCCGCCAAGTATGCTGCCATGAGAAGTTCATAACCCTGCAAATGTGGTGAACCTCGTCAAACATTGGGATCAAGTACCATGGAGGATCACTTGTTCGACTAGCCCAAGAGATGACATTTTTTGAGTCACCTTCAACTCTTAGACTTGAGCCCCAAGAAGGGTTGAACTTTTTCAAAGCTAGGAGGACGGCTAAGGCTTCCGCATGGTGAGAGTCCTTGAGGCCAAGGAATTCGGCGATACTTAGGAGTATATCGCCTCCATGGTCTTGGAAAACTCCTCCTGCCCCTGCTGGGCCAGGGTTCCCCAAAGAACATCCGTCGAAATTTAATTTGATGCTGCCTTGGGTTGGTGGTAGCCAGTTGCTTGGCCTTCTTACCCCCTGTGGTTGATAATGAAGGATGTTTCCCCATTGTGAGAGGAAGAACGTTCCTGGAATTCCCGCAAAGAATTTTTGGTTGGAGGCCCAAAAGGTAACCATGGTGGTTACCTTATGCAAAAGTGCCGGGGTCTCAAGTTTAAAGCCTCGGAAAATTCTTGAGTTTCTTTCCAGCCATACTATCCATATAGTAGCAGCTATAGTCGCCTTCCACAGGATTCTTCCTGCCTTAGTCCAGCTTGAGTCAAGATTGTGGGTTAGAAGGGCTTTTACCGAGGGGGGGTGACCCATTCTATGCCAAATAATTGTAATACCCTGCCCCACAGGTCAAAGGAGAAGTCACACAGCAAGAACAAGTGAAGGTTTGTCTCCTCCTCACATTCACAAAGAGCACACCTATTAAGGATGGGGACCCCTCTTTTTTGTAGATGATCGACAGTGAGGACCTTAAGTGAGAAGGCAAGCCCGTTGAGGCTCTGCACTTTTGGTGGAGCAATAGTGGACCAATGTCTAGAAAAGGGATCAAGGGTGGTGGGTAAGGAGGTGAGACTTTTGTAGAAAGAAGCAACTGAGAACTTACCCGATGGAGTTAGTGTCCAGACAATTTCGTCTCCCCAAGGGAAAGGAAAAAGAGGGAGTGGAGGGTATCAAGAGCAGTTGGAAATCAGCGGTTTCCTTTTCGGTT